GATCTTAGGGGTCTTTTCCAACCTTTATGGTTCTATGAGGTTTTATATGCTTTTGAGCTTTGGTCTAGCTAGTCCTGCGTGGCTTAAGTCAGCCTAGAGCACATCCTGTGTGGAGAATAAAAATGCGCTTGGGGTCAGAGAAGAGCAGAGCAATCATTGGGCCAGCTGTCTGGCAACCAGCTGCTGAAGGATTGCAAGATTTTGAAATCTTATGGGATGACCCCTGAGAGCGTAACTGGGAGGGTTATAGTGACTACATTTACAGAATCTCTTTAAATACGATCTTGCAGCATACTCTGAGTTACGTTACTGTAGTGCTACTTAGAAGCATTGTCCCTATGCATAAAGGTTCTCTTATGCCCATATATATCTACGTAATCACTGGTTGTACTGATAAAACTGTCTTGGAATAAAAGTAAGTATCCATTATGCTTGTCAGTGTAGTTAGATCGATGGAAAAGGTCCATGGACAAACACGGGATAAGAAGAATTTAGACTTGCAGTCCCATCTGATACCAAATGCAGATCTTGGCAGTGCTGGCAAGCATCCTTCGCTTGTGAGGACCCCTCAGAGTGGCAGACTGTGTTGAGCCTTGTTGAGCAGCGTGTCTGCAAAGGACGCAAACTGTTCTACTGTTTGTGCAGCTGTTACGGATGTTTAGCCACACTGCTTTGCATTGTGGTTTTTTTTTTTCATTTTCTCTCTCCCCAGGTTGCTGTAGTATTTGTGGGTTGTGACTTGACAGGTTGCTGTAAAGCCTTAGAGGGGAGGATTGTTGCTCAGGTTTCTCTCCTGGAATTGCTACCTTTTTGAGCCTTTCGCTTGTGATGTTCATCTGTTGTAAGGTACCAGTGACCTTTCTGCCCCCACAGTTCTTCTTGTTGAACTGCTGCAAGGAGACTTGATGCAGGGAGTTGAATGAGGGTCGCTGATACTGTCCTGCTTGTGCGTGGATATATGTAGTGAGAGGAGGGGTGATGTCCAAGTCTGGCTTCATAAGCTTTCATAGATCCAGACATTCTTAGAGCAAAGCAACTGGGAGAGTGAGCTGGGTTAGAAAACCTAACTGCATGGCAGTGTCATACCGTAGTTCTCTGGGGTAGGGAGGAATAACTTTCTCCATTCAATAAGTAGAAATGAAGGTAGGGAAAAGTGAAAAGACTTTTCAGAGGGCACCAAGAAGGCTTGGTGATCTAGATTCCTTTCCAGATCAGCTACTCCTTGCCAATTCTTGGCTATAGTGTGTCTCTTTCTATGCTAGGAAGAGAGTTAGGCTTTGATGAATCTTTGAGTGGCCCCTGAGAAGTTCAGTGGAGTTGTTGTCTCAGTTGTTCTGGTGGTCCAGATGTTCCTTCCAGGATGATGGTGTTCCACCATCACAGATGCTTGGTGGGCTTTTTACAAAATCCCTTGGAGCAGCTGTGCATATTGGCTTCACTAAGGATGAAAGAGGTTCCAGGATGTGCATCTCGGAGTACATGCAGGACTGAAAGTAGCTATCAGATGTTTCTAGCTACACCTATTAAGAGAAGCTGAAGGGATGGCAGGGTGGAGCAGATAAGCCTTGTTTTTTCCCAGTGGAACCTTTGTAGCCATCTGTGAATGAGAAAAAGTGCCCTCCAGGAAGATAATGGAGCCAGTCAATGCAGGGTTAGCTTGTCAGTAGAGCTGCCTGAGACCTTGTGTGTGTTACAGACCTGCTGCTCTACCTGTGTCAGCAGAGTCTGGGCCATAGGCACACTTACAGTTTTTCAGCAAAGCTCTGCTGGCAGACTGGTGTCCAGGCCACAGGGTTTTGTCAGTACAACCTATTGGCTAGAAGGCAGGAGGGGTTTCCTACCCCTCCTCACAAACACATTCCAAATTGACACTGCTGTGCTGGCAGAGCTGTAATACACAGCTCGCCTCAGCATAAAAATCCTCAGATGACTGCTTGAGAGCCTGCTGCTTGCCAGGACACGTGTCATGGGAAGACCCTTCAGTGAAATGGCTGATGAGCCATCACTGGCCTGGTCACGAGCATCTCTTCAGATGGGCTCTGAAGCCCAGGCAGCTGCCTCTGGAAGCGGCAATTCGGGGATGCCTGCACCCCGGGTGCTCTGTTGCCTGCCTGTCGGCACCTGGACCACTGAGGGATGCCATCCTGCGGCTTATGTCTGAGTAATGCTGTACGGCAGTGAGACTGGTGGTGAAGCTGCACGTGCTCCATGTGTTTTCTGTAGTTTTTTGTAGCGCATCTTTCTTCTGCTGCGTTACTTTGGGACATGGCATCTGGCCTTCATGGTGGGGGCCTGTCACTCGTTGGATATAGTGACAAATTCTACACAAGAACCAGAGTTACCCAAACCCTACCCTGAAGCAGTGGCAGGAACTGCAGTTAGCTTCCTTTGAGTTACGTCCTTGTGTCACAGATTTTACATAATGTGTAGTCAGGTTACAGCCAGGACTGGGGCAGGGACACATGTTTACACATTCAACTTTAAATAGTTGCTGTTGTGGACTGGGCTTTCTAATTGAATTTCCTGGGGATTTTTCTTTTTGGATACAAGTCTGTGACTTGTAGGACTGTGGGTTGCATGTTCTGTACAAAAATGATGTCCTATAAAACCAGCTTTTGTGAGGGAAGTGTATTTTTCTTTCAAACTGGCTCAAAGGCAGCCTGTCCCGTAAGTACTCCAGCAGCGTCATCTGGTGGCTTGAGGCAGATGGAGCACTTTGTAGCTGCGTGGTCCCTACCAAGTGCGTATGCTGCCCTTGAGGTTATCAGTCTAAGTGATAAAAGCCCTGAGCTCTTGTGGGTGTAATCAAACTACTACTACTGGGAATCAGGCTGCCCAGGCTTTCTGGGGCGTGTGGCAACATTAGCAAAGTAAGTCTCGGTGCTAATATCCTGTGTGCCTATAGAACAATATCGTATGCGTATGTAAGTTAGTCACCTGTATCTCAGTCTGTGACTTCTATTCACTGGAGGTTTAGTCATGCGGCAAGCTCTTCTACCCACTCCTCAGAAGCCAACTGTGAATAAGCTAACATTAGGCCCAATAAGGAAGAAATGTGCTTATATGCATACTGTGCTCCTCCGTTGTGTAGGAGGGGTAGTAGGAAAGTGTGTTTCAGAGAACAGGTGGAAGAAGTGATAGCGTTTTATGCAACGGTAGTTTCTGGCTTGTAGAGGTGTTTCCCTAGGGGAAGGATGCCCCAGATCTGTAGTATGTGAGGAGGAGTGGTTCAAACTGGCAGTAAAAGCCCATGTGGGAGCTTTTGGGTTCGGCTCAGTGATTGCCTGACTCTTCTGTTTTCTAGATTGCTAAAGTGGAGAAGTTGAAGCCTCTGGAAGTAGAATTGAGGCGCCTGGAAGATCTTTCAGAGTCCATCGTTAACGACTTTGCCTATATGAAGAAACGAGAAGAGGAGATGAGGGACACGAATGGTAAGAGACTGTGTGCTCCTTCAGCGGGATGGAGCTCTAAGACCCCTTGACCCCTTACTTCTGCTGATTGTGTTATTTGGACAGCATTTGGAGATCAATTACAGTGGTCTCTGCCTGTTCTGTTCCTAGTAAGGGAAACCTGCTGGTATTTCTTTCCTTCTGAAGCGGTCACTGAGTCTTGTGTGTCCCATCTCTAGAAATCATTTCTTTCTGTTTCCATTCCTAATGTGAATTACTCTGTACCATTTAATGTTTCCCATTAACCACAGTTTCACCTTGTTCCCTCTGCTTTTATTCTCAAGTGCTGGTGCTTGGGTGCCCTTGCCTTCATGCTGTATGATACCTTGCCTTTGAAAACTTCAAAAGTTTCACACGGGTGGGGAGAGAAAATCCTGGGAACTTTGCCCTCTTGACGCATATCCTGTGATGTCAGACTCCCGTGCAATGGTTTGTTGTCTGTTTCAGAGTCGACAAACACCCGGGTTCTGTACTTCAGCATTTTCTCCATGTGCTGTCTCATCGGACTGGCCACCTGGCAGGTTTTCTACCTGCGTCGCTTCTTCAAGGCCAAGAAACTGATTGAGTAAAGGAGCAAGTCCTCCTCCCCCTCCTCTCAGACCCAGCTGGACACCGCTGGGACCCAGCCATGGCCCCCTGGAGCCATCTCACAGATGATACCCACTGACTGGAGCTTTTCCGCAGATACTTGGACCCTAAAGGGGGAGGGGAGCCTAAACATTGGAGGCAATGGGGGACTTGTGAAATCCTGTTGGATGTTGAGGGTGGGGGAGGTTGTGATGGGTTTGGGGATTCCTGGGGCAGTGATTAAATAAAAAAAGATGTTTCCATGACAGCTGCAAGTTTTTGCACTGTCTGTTCTCCTTTTATAATCTTGGCATGATGATGTCTCCCATCTGTCTGTGACTGTAGTGTTACTCTGAGCCACTGACCCTGCTGAGCTCTTTAGGTGCCATGCAGCTAGCACCGGGGCAGAGCGGGGGTTCCCTGTTCTGACCAGCTGGGATCTAAGCCTCGTGCAAACGGAGGTGAGTGCAAAGCAATAGGATTCATCATTCGAGCAGGGCCTGAGGATAGAGGGAGGTCTGAGGTTTGGTCCCTGTTGTGGACCTCTGTGTTTCTCCCTGTGGGAGCTGGTGTCTTTGTGCTGACAGGGCAGGGCACTTGAGCATACGGTGGTTCAGCCTGGAGGAAGGGGAGCCTTGGAAGGAGGGCTTGGGAACATGTTTGAGCTTGGAAAAGAGAAGCCTGCTTTGCTCAGATAAGCTGTCCAGCCTTGGTCCCACCCTTGCTCCACGTATTTGCCTTGGATTTGCCTCTTTTGTTCTGAAATGATGCAGCAGCTTTCCTGAAAGCCTTGGTCAGGGATGGCCTTTTGTGCAGACAGGAGGCCTCAGTCAGATACAGTCACAGGGCAAAAAGGAGCAGGTTATGCTGGGAAACTTGGTCTTACATTGAGCAGGAGATCTTTCTCATCTAACAGTGTAGCGTTTATCCAGCAGGCAGCTGGCTGAATCTCATTTTCTGAGACCTCAAAGCAAGGTGGGCTGCTTCTCATGTGAAGCGTGAGGGCCTGTACCCTGCATTGAGGTCTGAAGGTGCAAGGGTGCTTTGCAGGTTGGCAGAGGAGTTGGAAGAATGTGCATGAACTCAAAAAAGCAGCACAGGGTAGGAATAGGCTAATTCTACGTCTGGGGGGAGTCTGATCTGTGCCCTCAACAGAATTGTTATTCTCGTATGCGGTACTACAGAGAGAGCAAGCAGCTTCTCGTCATCTCTCAGCTGTCCAGATGGCATGATGTTAAATAAGCCAAGCTGGGAAAAAACAGGCAGGTTAACTTCCTGGACTTACCTGCTGCAGTTTTTAGGCAGTGATTAAAATTCTTTCACCGTCTCTGCATTTCTTCAGAG